TCTTCCTGCTGTCATTTGTGACAACCAGGTCACAGTAGAGTGAGGGTTCCCAGCAGGTCTCAGCAGCCAGATGCAGAGCTCCTGCACGCTTTCTCCAATCAGAACTGTGCGGTGTGGGGGTGACAGTGGTGCCACCTCCCTGCCAACCAAGGTTCTGATGACAGCTCTCCAACTCCCCAGGGCAGTGCCCTGACTTGGGCTCCTCCAGCCTGCCTTTCAATTATGGAATCAACTCATTCTGCACAGTAACTTCCTTGCTGTGAAAACCTGACCGTGTCATGTTGGTGAGGAAGTGGACCAGACTGGAATGGCCAAAACTACTCGGATGCTGCAGCTGGTGGGAGAGTCCTGTGGTGTAACCACTTCAGAGAACTCTCTGGAAGCTTCTCATTAAGTTAAACACAGCTTCCCCATTGCTCAGCACTATATGCCTAAGTAGATAACCAACAGAAAGAAGGGCATAACTCCACAGAAAGTCTCAAAAGTGCTCTATTCCTATGCACCCAAACCTGGAAATGCCCAAAGGTTCTATTAAAAAATAGAATGAGTTGGGCATGGTGGCACATGTCTGTAATCTCCAGCACTCAGGAGGCTGAGGCAGGAGGATCATGGTGAATTTGAGGCCAGCCTGGACTACACAGTGAGTTCAAGACCAGCCTGAACCACATAGTGAGGCCCTGTCTCAAAAATAAAATAAAATAAAATGAATGAATATACAAATTATGGCATATTTATATATCAGAAAGAAAAAAACATTTAGCTCTGGGGTTTACTTCCCAAGCCTTTATCTTTTATTTGTATATTTAGACAGGGTCTTGCTAAATTGCTACATCACCCAAGATGGGCTCAAACTTTCTCCCCCCCCCACTCTCTCTCTCTCTCTCTCTCTCTCTCTTTCTTTCTTTGGAAGCTTTGACCCTGGAGGGCCATGGCCAGGAGAAGTACTCTGCACTGTGACTTTTAGCAACTCTTGACATCTGACTTTGAAGACATATCCTAATGAAGGGTCCATTTTCTTACTGTCCCTGTAAATCCCTGGTGATCATCTATTGCCAAGGGAGCTATCAGTGATTCTCAAGAATAAAGGACAAGGTGGCAGCTGCTGAGTGGCAGGCCACCGGCAACACAATGTCCCAAAGCCAGAAGAGGAGTCCATGCTGGTCCTAAAGACCAGAGAGAGAAGTTGTTATGGACGAGTGAGTTCAAACAATAGAAATGCACCACACTCTGTGCCAGATTCGAGCCCGTTTATTATAGCCGGTGGCCAAGGGGGGTGCCCAGAAAGTTTCAATTGGCCATGGGAAGCAGTTTGATTTCTCCTTTTAAATCATGCCTTCAGTTGAGAAAGGCTCAGGGGAGAGCAAGCAGAATCTTACAGAAGCAGAAACATGCCCGATTATTGAGGGTACAAGGAAGTTTCACACATACTAGGCGAGCTACAAAACATCCTGCAACTGCAGCGAGTTTACTGCCAGGCAGGATGTGGGGGTTTTGGATGCTTTGTTCAAGAGCAAGCGCTTTGTTCAAGCACAGGTACAAAATGGCATCGAGGCAGAAGATGGAGTCAGGTTGGCTATCACAAATTCTCCCACTGCAGCGGGGTGCAGCGATGCAAGTGAAGCCAGCTCCATCTGAGCCAGTGAGAGGCAGGGAAGACTCCTTCCAGACACCATTATGGCCCAGATCTTAGCTTGAACCACCTAGCACAGCTGGTCAAGAAAGGATGAGGTGAAGGGAAGACTCAGGGTCTGTGTACTGTAGAAAAAGAAAACACTAGAAGAAAGGACATCAGAGTACCACCACTAGTGGTACTACCTGGGGTGGTAGCATTATCAGTACAGATTTTGGGTTTCTTTCTTTTTTTTTTTTTTCAGATTTTGGTTTTCTTCATCAAACATTTCTTTTTTTTTCCACATTAGCTGTACAAAAGCATATAAATATATACACATGCACATAGCGTATATTGTAAATAAATGAACAGAATAAAATCAATAGTTTGAGAATAACATTTAATTGTAAAAAATTATTCAAGGTGTGATATACATGTACCAACTCCCCATGATGAATGCAGTCATTATGTACTACAAATAGGTACTAACAAAAATAAAAAACAATAATTGTAAAACAATTATTTGAAATGCAGTCATAATAGCTATGTTTTGTTTTCCAGTCAGTCACAATTCCCCAAAGGACTCAGCCATGAGAACATGACTGTTTTCGGAGCCCTCTATCCCTATCTTTGGCTCTGACCTCCGCTCTCTAGGGGAAACATGAGCTGGTGGTGGCTGAGTCATCACATGTGGATCACATCTCAATTTGGAGCACTGGGCAATGCCTGGGGTGAGCTTTAACTTGGGAAGGGAGCTGCAGCCTCATTAGACCCATCCTTCCACTAATAAATGCACAACAATCAATGAATTGCACCCATGAAATAGGGGAGGATTCAATAAACAATAAAAGATAGAGTCAAAAGATTGAGTATTGCTGAGTGGTAGAGTGCCTGTCTAGCATGAGTGAGTGTGGGTTCTACCCCTAGTACTGGAAAAACAACCCCACAAACATGTTATTTTAGGATTTTGAAGTAATTTCATACTTATAACACAATTGCAAAAAATAATACAAATGTGTCTTTTATAACTGTGGTACAATAACTAAAGCCAGAACCCTAATACTGGCATCATTAACTAACCCTAAAAGCCTTTCTTGAATTTCATTTGCTCCCTGACATCCTTTTTTCAGGATCTTACACTACATTCAGTTGACATGATACTTTGGTCTCCTTGATTCTAGCACAGTTCTCCAGTCTTTCCTTGTCATTCATTTTTTTTTTTCCTCTACTGGGGATCAAACTCACAATTTTGCACTTGTGAGGCAGATGTGGTGCCGCTGAGCTAAATCCCTGGCCCCTTCCTTGTCATTCATGCGCTTGGCATTTTTGAAGAATTATTCGGTGGCGCTGACCAAAACGACTTTCTAGGGTGACTGAAAATGCTGTCCAGTTCCAGCTTGACAGCCATTAGCTAGATGAATTTAACATTTGAAATGTGGCTAATGGAGCTCAGGAAGTGACTTTTAAATTTCATTTAATTTCAATTGAAATAGCTGCATGTGGCTAGTAGCTATTGTACTGGGCAGGTGAACTGGCAAATAGCTCTTATTTGTCTCCTCCTTTAGGTTATGATTTTTTTTTGTTTTGTTTTGTTTTTGGTACTGGGGATCGAACTCTGGATCTTGCACTTGCAAAGCAGGTGGCAGCACCACTGAGCTAAATCCTGGGCCTGGTTATGAGTTTTTGATAAGAATAACACAGGCATGAATTTGTGCTCTTTGTCTAGATTTTTAAAAGTTGTTGACAGGAGACAAGGAGCCACCCAGGCCAGGAAACTGGATTGTTTCAATCCCCTTCAAGGTTCAGCAAAGACAGAGGTTACAACTGCATTTGCAAATTGGTCTCCACATTCCCAACAGTCCTCCTGCAAGAAATAGATATGAGGCCCCTGGAGGCAAGGCAAGTTGCAGGCAGTATCACTTCTTCAACAAATCAACATTAACTCTCTTGTCCATGAACAAAGTGGAGCTGGCTCTATTACAGCTGAGGTGTGATTTAGAGCACCTTGTAAATACCACAGGTTGTGATACATCTACAAGGCCACCAAGTACAGTAATTAGAAGGATAAGTGTTCTAACCTCAATCTCCCAATGATTCAGTTTGGAAACACTGGTTTCAGAGCCAGGTCTGTGATCTTGGGGCCAAATTTTTTATCCCTTCTCTTAAAAAATTGTAATAAAGTATCTATTTGCAGACATTAGTTTTACTCCCTGTTGTTGAGATTTATATAACCAGAGGCAGGCAACATGGACTCTCTCATTTTGGCTCTGTTAGATGAACACCATTAAGCACCATTAATCTGTCCACAAAGCCCATTCACCCATGTGGAGAGCCATCCATGACATATGTTGTGTGTATCAAGAATTTGTTCTTCTTGCTGCTGTATATAATTCCATTTTGTGAGTACACCAGTTTGTCTCTTTGTTCATCCTGCTGGTGCACATCTGGACTGCTTCCAGTTCGCGTATTATGAATAAATCACAAACATTATCTAGTGTGTATGCTTCTGGGTAGAAGTATATCCATGAGTGAAACTGCCTGGTCATAGGGTTAGTCTGTGTTTACTTTGGTAAGAACTGTTCAACAGTTTCCCTAACTCTCTTTATCGCTTTTTAAAACAGGAAGACTAAACCTACTCTACCTGGTTATTGTGAGAATATTTCACGGACCTTTAGGTGTAAGGCTTCAAATCCTACATCTGGAACACAGTGGGCGTTCAGTACCCGTTGGCCTTTGCCCCAGGAAGTGTTCTCTAGCCAAGCAGGGGAAAGACTGGTGGATGGTAAGCATCGCAGAGGTACCTGCCCCAGGCCCTTGAGAAGAAAAGGCCTCTTCCACACCGCACTAACTGCACCCAGCCGTGTTAATCCGACCTACCTCTCCTGCTCCCCCGCAGGCATCAGGCATTGCCAGACTAGACACTCAGGCCCCTGCCACCTTTGAGGCCACATGCCTGGCTCTGGAAACTCGGGAGCAAACGACATGAAGACCTTCTCGCTCTAAGCACGTGGCTGGAAGTAGGAGTTGTTTCTCCTGGGAAGCAAAGTAACGAATTCCAAGCCCCTGATGACTGGAGAAGGGCAGCCCTTTCTGTTGCTGGCTGGACCCTGGACTTCCGCTGGCAATGGCTCCAAACGAAGAAGGAAAAAAATAATCTACTCCCCCAGGCAGCACCGCCCATTTGCGCGCTTCCAGGCCCGCCCAACACTGCCAGAGGCCCGCCCCCCGCCGTGATGCCAATCACGCGCGGCCTCGAAGCCCCGCCCCGCCCCCTGCCAAGGGTTGGGCGGCCCGGCCTCGCCCCGCCCCTCGTCCTGGGAGCGCTCGTCCACCGCGGTCCTCTGGTCAGCGGGTTGTGGCGGCCGTAGGTAAGGTAGCTGCCCCGACGCTTGGTCCCCTGGGCTCTGCGTGCTCCAACGCCCTTTGCGGAGGTGGGCTGAAGCAGCCGGAGTCCAGGGGCACTCAGTCCGCCAGGGCGCTTAGGGGGTGGGGTGCACTGCGGGCCTGGAGGGGGACGGGACAAACAGGACTCCGGGACCCCGAGCTTGGGAAAACTGAGGGCTCTGCCCATTGCGTCCAGCGTCCGGAAAGACGGGGGATATGGCCCGGGGCGCTTGCTAGAGGTCGAAGGGAAGGTTGGGCCCGAAGGAGATGGAATGAGCTCCTTCCGTCGTCCGCAGGCCCGAGGTGACCCTCACTCGAGGCGGAACCGGGTGCGCCGACTTGTGGCGGGGCAGCTTGGGAGTAGGGCCTCTTCCTGCTCCCGCGTAGTGACTGTTCTCGGCCGGCCCTGACACCTGCTCAGAACGGCCTCCTCGTGTCCTGCGGGTCTTGGTCCCGCCCAGGAACCCGATCCGAGGCTTGGAGGCCTGTCCCTCGGGAGGGTGGCTGTTTCTTTCCACGACGCGCTCTGTTCAGAGATTCTTTGGGCTGTCAGGTCGGAAACTTGGCCACTTCAGAACTCTCCACCACCTCCCTTTTTATGAGATTGAAAGGAGGTTCCAGGTACGAATGGAAATGAAACAAATCAAGAACAACTTTCTTTGTATGGAAGCCATAAAACTTATAAAACATCTTGGAGGACAGTTAAGCTACCAGGGAACTGAGGCTAACGTTAGTGGACGCGGGGTAATGTCCTCAGCACTGTCCCAGACAATCTGCATTTCTGCCGAGAGAAGAGACTAAATTTTGCGTCCTCCCAGGTCCACCCTCACCGACCCATCCCCACCTCTGCGGTGACCTTGGGCCCTCCCTGGACTTGAATGCAGGGGGCTATGTAGCTCTCACTTGCTGCAGGGGCCTCTATGCCCTGCAAGGTGTATGCCCAGCTTAAAGGAGGCAGCAAATCTTGGGTCCTGCATGGACCCTGACCAGGTATGCAACTTAGTATCACTCCCCGTCTTCTGAGGCTTTTTCAAGGGTTAAGTGAAAGAATCTTAGGGTGAGCCCTCAATAAAAGTGAACCAATTGTGGGCTTCCTTTTCTTTTGGTGGGCCACTTGACCCCCACCACTACCACCTGTGCCTTGAGGGGTGAGACTGGGTGGGCCGCAGCTGACAACATCTGACTTCCTCTTGCTACCTTCTTAAGTGCAGGGGGAAGAGGAGAAAGTCTTCATAGACCTCCACAGAGTTGTTCTTTGTTCATCTCCTGAAGACTTGGAATACCCCCACCTCCCTGAACACCTGACTTCTTGTCTTACTGGCGGTCCTACCAGGAATGTGGCTCCTGGTGGTTGACAAAGCAAGTCATGCAACACAGGGCTGAGGCCACCAGACAGGACTGTTGCCCATCTCCCATCCGGTGAGGGCCTGGCCCCCTGCAGTAGCTTGTAGACACTTTCTACCCAGTAATACTGTCCCCTGTAGGTCTCACGCATGCTGACATCCACTTGGTCCCCTCTTCTCAGTCTGCCTCCTTTCCTACCCCACAGTACTCTTGGAATCCAACAGCATCTTAAGCTTCACTTGTTTAAAAATGAGCTCCTGAATTCCCTCTTCACCAAACCTCTTTCTTGCTTCCATGACTGATAAATGACATCTTCCTCTTACCCAGGGGCCAGGGTTCTTTCCTGTCTCTTACCTATCACATCCACCAAACACCAGGAATCACTGCCCAGTCTCCACGGCTATCTGACTATACTTCTCATGTCTCCCCTGCTGTGGCCTTCCTGACATGTCTCCCTGCTCCCCACCCTTGTCCCTCTGTAGTCCTCACAGCTACTGGGAGATTATTAGGCCTCAGATCCTCTATTCCCTCAATGGCACCCTGTTTCGCTCCTTATAAAACCCATATGGGGTCAGGGATTTAGCTTAGTGGCACCATGCCTGACTGGCAAGCACAAGGTCTTGAGTTCGATTCCCAGTACCAGAAAAACAACAACAACAAAAACAAAACCCATAGTTGTTTCCTACAGCATTCTATAGGAGTGGCCCATGACCACCGTCTTGACCTTGACTGTTGGCTTTTTAAATGTCAATGATACTGCCCTGCTTTCTATTGTCTTAGGACTCTGGCATTTTCTGTGGCCTGTACCCCAAACACCAATCTTCTCAGAGCTAAATTGTCCTAGCTTAACGCCACCAGTTGAGAGGGGCTCCGTTGACCACCCAGTTAAAGCATCATGCCCTTCCCAGGGCTCTGTCTCATTGCACTGCTTTATTTTTCTTAGAACCTGTGTTACTTTGTGGAATTCTTATTTAGGTCTGTGTTCACTGCTCCTTCCCATCCCATAGACTATACATTGGATGATAGCATAGACCTTTCCGTCTTACTCCCTGTAGCACTCCCTGATGGGGATGCAAATGAGAAACAAGCAAACACGTCTATAATTGCAAAATGTGGTAAGTATTAAATAAATTATGCTTGCTTGTATTTGAGGCACTTACGTTTTTGTGTCTGAACTACTGGATTGTCAAAATAAGCCATTTGAAGGAAAAGCCTGGAAGATACTGGTAACTGGCCCTGGGTAACCCTATTAGTTCCCTTGGTGTAAGAACGTATATGTAGTGGGCTTTAATGGTGGGCTGCTGTCGCATTCCTGATCCCAAAAGAGCTTAGTTCTTTGCTCTTCCAGTTGCTAGCAAGACTCTTAATTTCTTGGTACCTCATGTTCATCTCAGCCACTGTTTTTATTTTATTTTATTTATTTATTTTTTTGTATTGGGGATTGAACTCAGGTCTTTGCACTTGCAAGGCAGGCCACTGAACCACTAAGCTAAGTCCCCGGCCCTCTCATGTTCATCTGTAGAGCAGGATGATCCTATTATTATCACCTCGGGCTGCTTTTTCCTTTCAGTGTATCCGAAGGGAGCAACATTTGTAGGCAGCCGGCTTTACATCTTGACATTCAGCCTTAGGGCCAGGGAGTTGGGGGGACCCGTGCTTTCATGGGCACAGCAACTTGGGCACATGCAGACCCTCACCTTGCATGTGTGAGCGACACACACAGACCCTTCCCAGCACTGACCAACCTGCACGGAGAAATGGACTCTACATCTTCTGCATCTAACTCTGCTCATCAGTTCATTTTTAAGCAAATCCTTTGAAAGCCTCTGACAGTAATAGTATAGGATGTTTAAAGAAATCAAAGATTACAGAAAAAAAGCAAAAATTCCAAAAAGTTTAAAAATAATTATTTTTCATGTGGTGCCACTCCCAACCTTGTAGCCACGTGTAATCTCTTTTCTTCCAGTCTTTCCCTCTCTCAGTCCATATACCTACATAGAGTGAGTCCTCTCTTCAGAAGCTGAACAGCCATGACCAGCGCTGAGGAGAAAACTTACAAGTTTATCTGCCGCAATCATAGTAGTTTTTGCCGTGTTGATGTTCTGGAGATTCTCCCTTACCTGCCCTGCCTGACACCCAGTGACCAGGTGAGCCAGGGAAGTGACAGCTGTCACTCTTCTGGGATCAAGGCTGAGGAATCCCAAACTCAGCTCTAACCGGTTCTTTATCCAAGCTAGGGCCAACCCCTTCCTCTCCTTTATCCTGTGTCTTGCTTTTTGTCATTGCTGCTTTTCTACCTTTTAGGTCAAATGTGGTTTGGGGTGGTTTTTTTGTTTGTTTGTTTGGTTTGGTTTTGGTTTTGATTTTTGAGACAGGGTCTCACTATGTAGTTGAGACTGACCTGGAACTCACTATATAGCCCAGGCTGGTCTTGAACTCACAGTGACCCTCCTGCCTCAGCCTCCCAAGTGCTGGGATTACAGGCCTGAGCCACCACACCCGGCTTTGGGGTGTTTTTTTTTTTTTTTCTTGCCTCACTGACTCCCTCTTGTGTTGTTTTGTGTAGTGATCAAAAACATGGCAATAGCATCCTGAGAATTCCTGGCTCTGATTCTTTTACTTCCCTTAGTTCCAAGAGACTTCTCATTCCTTCATCTCTCTTGTCCCAGTCCTGCTCAGTTTTGATTACATTTGTCTTGGGACCCTGTCCTGGCAGGGAGCCTCAGGAGAAGTTCTCAACCTTGAGAACTCACATGTGCCAGATTGCACTTGCCCCAGCAGGACTTGCTGCCAGCCTCTTGGGTAAGTGAAGTGGCAAAGTCCCTCCCAATTTTAGTTGCTCTCAGCCCATGGGACACCTGTGTGCCAGCAGGTCTCTGTGAGCTCCTTGAGGGACTCAAAAGAGCCCTGTCCTCATGTGGCTCAGGAGTGCTTTGCTTCCAGTGTGTGTTCCCTTTTCTGGTACCAGGGATCAAACTCAGGACTTTGCACTTTTGAGGCAGGTGCAGCACCACTGAGCTAAATCCCTGGCCTTGTCACACAGTTTCCTTCTCTGCTCATTCAAACCTTTTTCTGTGCTTTGGGTGCTGTCTAAACCCAAGGCTTTTCTTGGATTAACTGGGCTGGAGCTCTGCCCCACTGCTATAAAATCTCTGCTACTTCTGCTAAGTCTCAGTGTCCTCATCAGTAAAGTGGTGATATCACAACATTAAACGAGGTGATTCCTGCAAAGATGTAGATAGCACAGGATACGTATGGTCACAGCTATTTCACAATAGCGCTTTTGTTGTTGCTCATTGCTCTTCCTCACTCCATGCTTGGTCTCTAACCCTAGCCTCGTTCAAGTCCCCGGTCTGGTTTCAGGTAGCTGCTGTTCTCTTTCTTGTAGCTTTCTTGGTGGCCCTTAGCAGTGGCCCCCTCTTGGGTGGGGAAGCGGCTGGAGCTGAGGCTACCAGGCTTGAGCAGGGTGGCTGTGCTATCTTCCAGGATCGATTGCGCGCCTCCTACTCGCGCCTGGGGAACAGGGACACACTATGGGACCTCTTCAACACCCTCCAGCGGCGGACAGGCTGGGTGGAGTCTCTCATTGGGGCCCTGAGGACCTGTGAGCTGAGTGGGCTTGCTGATCAAGTGAATCGTGTATACCAGAGCTCCCAGCCTTCTGGTGAGCTCCCTGCCCTGCCTCTTGGACCCCTGCCTGCTTCAACGCTCTCCTCTCCCACTCCCCTCCCCTGTCCCTCCTGCTCTTCTTGTCATCCCGCCTCTCGTACTCCCAGTAGCAGACACGCTGGGGTGCATGTCCCAGGTGAGCCACTTATTAGCTGTGTCCCCTTGGCCAAGTTCCTTAATTTCCCGGAGCCCTGCCTGTCCCTTAGAGCTGTGGTAGAGACAACACAGGTGGAGCCTGCTCCATGAGCACAGGAACTTCCTCTCATGTTTGTGGCTATGGTCTTTGCTACCCACTTTTCCTCATTTCCGCTCCTGTTCCCTCTCCTCCCACCCATGTATTCATTCTTCCTCTCTCCCCTTGTCTTCCCTTCCTCTTAGTTTCCCTGAGAACATTCTGGTCTCCCCTTTTCTCAAGGCACATGGTGCCGGGGATTTGGCTCAGGGGTTCTGCCGCCTGCCCTGTAAGCGCAAGGGTCTGAGTTTGATCCCTGGAACAACAACAACAACAAAAAAGAATGGATGATCAAGGCACGTGGTTAATCCTTACTCCTCCCATTCAGTGCCCCCATCAGCCCCAGTACCCAGAGGGGATTTGATGGGATGGGGTCTGAGGAAGGGACACAGGAAGAAAAATCAAGCCAGCTACTTATAGTTCAGACTAGAGGCAACCCCAGGGACTGAGGTTAGATCTGCAGCTTTGGAACACCCCATGTTTGCTTTTGTTTCCGTTTTCCCTGCTCCCTTCTTTGCTAACTGGGCCTTTCATTTATGGAGATTAACAGTGATCCTTCTAATACAAACAGCTATGGTAAGGCCAGGGGTGGGTGGGGGCCGGGGCCAGTGAGGGGTGACAGCCCCGAGGAGGAGAAATCCTGGGGACAGAGAGCGGGTGACTGCTGATACAGCCCAGGTGGTGACAGGCCTGTGAGCCACTCCCCTTCTGCCTTCCCCTCTTTGCCACCGCTCCTTTCCCAGCTTCTCTCCCTCACACTGCTGTCCCTTCCCCAGTCATGCTTGTCACAGATACATCTCACATCAGGTCAGTTTTTGGACATAGGGTGAGAACTAGGGGCCCCAAAATGCCAGGCCTCTCCTATCTCTGGGAGCACCCTTGTTTCCTTATTGATATCACTGTATTTCTGTTCTCCAGGGACTCCACCCCGGGTCCCAGGCCCAGTGGACACACCGGAAGTTCCTGCTGAGGTTCCAGCAGCCCGTAACTCTGGTGCAACCCACAGCATCCCCCACAATGGCTACCAAGAGGAGCTAAGTTACCCCCAGCCTGTCCAGGACACCCAGACACCAAAGTCCCCCAGGGAGGTATGTCCTCAGTCTACCTCGGGCCTCCTGCTTTTGTGTTCCTATGTGCCAGCTTCTGTCCACGTTCCTCCCAGAAGCCCTCTCTGCCCTTATAAGCCGTGCCTAACCTCTGCTAAGAACCCCAGGGCTCCGTCAGTGGAGAGATACCCCACCCACTTCCTGACTACTGTGACAGCTCCACAATTCTGCCTTCAGCCAGCTGGGAAGCCATATTATTGAGGTCTTTACAGTTGTCCCGTGAGACATTGAGCTCGGTGGAGGAACCTGAGGAGTGAGCAGGAAGTCATGGGTGGATGTTGGGCCTGTAATTATGAGTAAAGTGTGGGAGAAAGATGAGCAACCCTTTTGAGACATGACGAGTGGACCATGGGTGTGCTGAGTGGGCCATGAGGTGTTGAGCTGTGCACTGGACTGAAGAAAGGGCTCTGTGCAGAGGCCACAGAGACCTACCCATAGGTCCTAATGGGATGTGGTTTGTTTTTTAAAGTGCTGGGGATGGAACCCAGGGCCTCATGTACACTAGGCAAGGGCTCTACCACTGAGCTATACCCCCAGTGACTTGGTCTACTTTTTCTGTGGTCAGAAGGTCTGGCAATGACCAGAAACACAGGCTCTCTCGGTTCCAGGCCTCCTACAGGCCACACCCTGTGAACGTGGCAGTTTGTGGGGGCAGCAGCTGTTTCATTCACTTTCCCTCTTGCAGAGTTCAGAGGCGGTCCCACAGACACCCAGTTTGGGGGCCATCCAGAGGAGGCCCAGTGGATCCTCGGAGCTCTCCTCCAACCTGCTAGCCCTCAGTCCGACCCCCAGCGGACATCAGGAGCAGAACCCAGAACCGGGCAGCACCCATGGGGCAGGTATGCATGCAGTGTGGCGTTATGGGGCCTTTCTGACCTTTCAGGTGAGTGCTAGAATCAGAGTTCCCTCTAGGGCTTCCTTGAGAAGGAAGCAAGGTGAGAATAAAGGGTATTTGTTACCTCAGGGAGCAACCAGTTCCTTAGTGATTATACCAGTTAGTTAGCATTTGCTGTATAATAAAGTCCAAAAATATGTTTAGTAGCTTAAAATACAGTCATTATGTAGCACGTGGCTGACCCTGCTGGGCATTTCTGGTCTTTGCTGAATTTTCTCACATGTACTCACTGATGTATACCTATGCTCTGCTTCTGCCTGTTGTCTGGAGCACCTTTGTTTGCTTCTCTATAGTCACCCTCCCGGCTCCACCTTCCTTCCTCTCTCTCTCTCTCTCTCTTTTTTTTTTTTTGCAGTACCGGGAATTGAACTCAGGACCTTGCACTTGGGAGGCAGGTGCAATGCCATTGAGCTAAATCCTGGCCCCTCTCTTTCTTTCTTTTTTTCCTTCCTTCCTTCTTTACTTGCCTTGTTTTGTTTGTTTGTTTGTTTTTGGTACCAGGCATTGAACTCTGTACCTTATGCTTTCGAGGCAGGTGCAGTGTGACTGAGCTAAATCCCTAGCTCCGTTTTTGTTTCTGTGGTCCTGGAGATAAGCACTGGGCTACATCCTAGCCTTTTAAAAATTTTCATTTTTGAGATGAAGTTTCCTACATTGCCTGGGCTGGCCTTGGATGTGCAATAGTCTTGCCTCAGTCTCCTGAGTAGTTGGGATTATACACATGTGCCACTATGCCCAGTGGGTCTCTCTTTCTTTAGCTTATGTTGTGGCAGTTTGGCAGAGCTCTGAGTCAGAGAGAAAGATTGAGAGAAAGATAAATCCTGAGGCATTTGCTCAAGACTGGTAATGTCTCTCCTGTGCTGTTCTGCGGGCCAAAGCAAGTTATAAAGCCAACCTAGCTCAGTATGGTGATGCACATCTGTAATTCCAGCAGCTGAGAGGCTGAAGCAGGAGGCTTGCCATGAGTTTGGGGCCAGCTTAGGTTATATAATGAGCTCAAGACTAGCCTGAACTACATAGTGAGACCCTATCTCAAAAAACTAAAACAAAGCAAACAAACAAAAGCCACTCTAGAATCAAGGAGTAGGGAAACCAACTCCATCCTTAGATAGGAGGACCCATGAAATCACACCACAGTGTGTGTGTTATTGTACAGGTGGGTGTTGCTGTACATTGCTGTATAGGTGGGGAAGAGAATTAGGGCCATTTTTGCACTCTGCCGAAGGGACCCCACAGGGATCAGTCAGGGCCTGGAGGAGGGGGAAGGATAGTACAGGGTTGGGCCAGCTGTTGGTAGGGGAGCCTAAGGTACAGCCCTACCTGAAGGGGTCTCCAGTTCCCAGCAAGTCACTGAAACATCTTATCCTCCAGAGGAAGTATGGTCTTTCTTAGCCAGTGAACTGGCTCCCACACCAGACCCCTTAGGGTTGTATAGCTGCCCACCCTGACCTGCCAGGCTGTTTTCACCTCACACTGGTGTCGATCATCTCTCATTGGCCTGGGACAGCCACTGGCACATGAACAGTTAAAGTCTAGGAGAAGCCACGGTGCCCCCATTCCTGTCACACACACACACCCACTCCTCACCCCAACCCCACCAAGAACCTGGATCCCTTTCAGGAGGTCCTCCTGTGAGTCGTGCAGGCAAAAGGTGCTATGATTTCACATGTTCCTGAATGCAGGTCCCATGAAATGCTGAGCATGAGATTTAGGGGAGGGGACCTCAGGCATCTCTTTTGACCTTGTCAGCTTCAGGGTCTTGTGTGTACACATTTGGTTTCATGGAGAATCCTGATATCTCCACCTTTGTGGACTGTCACCACCTGATACTCTGTGGTTTCCCAGGTCAGATATCCCCCAGGGAGGCCCTGTCCTTTTCTCTGGGGGCTGGCCAGCCTCTGGTGCCTCTTGAGTGGTCTGAATGGCTCTGCTTGAGTCATCCTGCTGTCCCTTGCCCTGATCTAAGATTACTCCTGCACAGGGAGGCAGGGGAATTGCAGTGAGGGCAACATCTGGGATTCCACCAGGCTAAAGAAAAAGTTAAAAGGGCAGGAACGGGCGCCAGTGGTGTGTGTCCCAAGTAAGAAGAGAAAAGGCAGACAAAATAATTAATAATAATTAATAATGACCAAGCTTCTGGGTTACTCTTATGACTGGACAGACTTGGGGCTATAGGTCAGGGACAGAGGGCAGCTATGGAGCCTTCAGGCCTGAGAGCAGAGACTGGAAGTTCCTCTGTGGGCAGGAAATTTGAAGGTTTGGATGCAGTAAGGGGCAGTGTGACCTGGGGTACAGGTACCTTCTCCAGCCCTGAGGGTAGCAGTCCTTTGGGGTTGTATTTCTGTCTTCCATACCTGCAGGCCCAGTCTCCAGCCCCACATCACCAAGAGGACCTGTGTCTCCAACTGTCTCCTTCCAGCCCCTGGCCCGTTCCACCCCCAGGGCGAGCCGCTTGCCTGGACCCTCAGGGGCAGTGGCAGCTGTGTCTGTTAGCCCCTCCTTTTCCTCTTCTCCCTCTTCCACTAGCTTGCCTTCTGCAGGCAGTGCTGGTAACCAGGCCAAGGCCTCCATCTATCCCAGGGTGGTACCCACAGAGGTACCTGCCAACTCTGTTACAGCCAGCTCAGTGCCTTCTGCCACCACTCTGAAGCCTGTGGACACTGTGACCTCCAGAGTGCCTGCCAGCCCAGTACCTGCTAATGTGCTCACCAATCCAGCACCATCCAAACACGCTGGCCTAAGGTCATCCAAAGTGCCCACTAGCATAGTGTCCACCAAGGCACCAACCAGCACAGTGCCATCCATTGGGAGCAGCGGCAGAGCCAAGGTGAGTCCTTCCCTCCCTAGCAATGACTCACATCCCTTCCCCCTGGAGAGCCTGTCTTTTGGGTGTTGTCCATGAACCCTTCCCAATCTCCACCCTGTCTCCTGCCTGGACAAGTCCATGGTCTCTCCCTGAGTGTGTAGGAAGAGCTGAGAACCAGCCCATCCAAACCCCACACCATGCCCTGTGGGAGGGATCACAATCATGCGACTGTGCACCAGGCCAGTGAGTGGGAAGGATACTCTGAAGGAGGCCATCACTGCTATGCCCCTCTTCCCTTGGAGTGGTCACAGGGGCTTGATCCCCAAAAGGGTGACCTTGGGCATTATAGGCCTGTTGAATTACAACTTTATGCCCTGGCCTGGGAATGGGGCCAATTCAGCCTGCCTTGTCTCCTTGCCACCTGAAACTCCTTGCAGTACTCTCCTTTATTTCTCAGGAGATGGCAGAGGCTCCAGTACCCACAGCTACAATTGGAGGCAGCTCACCCTGGCCAGTCAGCAGCTCTGGGAACCTACACTCTGCACCAGAAATGAGCAAGCCCGGGGAGCTAAAATCCCGGGAGTACAGCCAACCATACTCCGGCTGTTCTGCAGACCTCGCCATCAGCCCCAGTAGCTCCCTGGCCTCAGAGCCTACCCATGGCCCAGAGGAGAATGAGTATGTGTGTTTTGGGATCCATGTGGCTGAGGACCCCAGTGCCAACCTCATGGCTGGCAACCCTGAGCCACACATTGTCTTGCAAGAGCAGGAAGAGGAGGAAGAGACCAGTGCTGGATGGTCAGTGCCCTGGACTTCCTGGCTTGGAGCAGCTGTGGCAAGTGCACTCCTAGGTGTGCTCCTGGCAGTGCTGTACCGGCGGCGCCCACTCCAGTGAAGGCTTGGCTTTCTGCACCATGTACCTGTGCCGTACCATGCACTCATTTCACAGTCTACTTTCTCCAGGCTGGGAGGGGCTGGGTCAGAAGGGAGCTCAGGGACTGCAGGCTGGAGGGGGGCTGTGGTCTGGCTTCACCCCACCCTGGGTGCAACCTTTCCATCTTAGTTCATGCTCTCTGCTTGTCGCTGAAGCTCTGGGAAGTTCCCAGAGCTTGGGACCTCACCCACCTGGCAGTGAGGGTTGTCACCTGATGTGCCCCTGAGTTTTCCCTGACCAGGCCTCATCCCTTTTTGCCTACGCCTGCAGATCAGGAGGTGCCACTAGAGAGCACTTTGAGTTGTAGTTCCTCTTGTGCCTAGGCCCCAGAGGCTCAGTTGCAAATGTGCTGACTGAGAACCCTGTAAGACCTTGCTCCCATCTACAGCAGTCCAGGCTGAGGCTGTGGCACTGGACCTGGGGAGCAGCTGGGTGGCAGGTGCTTCAGGTTCCCTGCACCTCTCCACTGCCAGGCAACCCTGGAGGGAGGTCTTGAGGTTCATGTGGACCTTGAACTCAGAGGCAACTGCCAGACCCACAGAAGACATCTGGAGCCCCTCCCCAGCCTCCCCTCCCCTTTCCTGGTCACTGTTCTCTTTGGCTTCCTGTATGGGTTTAGAGTAGGAACACTGAGTGGGCAGAGCTCAGGCCAAGTTTAAACTTCAGGTCCAACCTTTCTGGGCTGTGTGGCCCTGAGAGATGCTAAGACTCTAGTCTTGTTTCCCTATGTGGACAGAGTCTCTACTCTTCCTTCACGAGGCTCTTCTGAGATTGAAGTTGCAGGTAATTGGCCAGGACCTGGCTCAGGGGTGTGACCGCTGAGCATCCTCTCACTTCCCTCTGTCCTTGCCTGGGTTTGAGAAGCAGAATGCACTGAGATAAGAGTACACTCTGCGGCGACACAGCTCAGCCTGCATCCTGCATTCTGCTGTGCCTCTTGCTAGCTCTGTGGTCTCTGGCAAGGTATTAACCACTGTGTGCCTCACTTTTCTCATCTGTTAAATGGGGGAGAGTATCTCCTGGTGTTGTCACGAGGATTAAATGAATTTATCTATGTAAGTCTTAGAATGAGTCTTGGCATTAACTGAGGGTTGGATGCATGTTGCTATCAGTATTAAATGCTGAAGACTAGAGCCCTCAGCTAGAGGTAAACCCAGACCCCACAGCCTCTCCTACCTTCTATTTGCCCCTCACTTCACCTTGTGCTCTGGGGAGCTGTGGGAGGTTGGCATGACCTCTTGAGCAGCAGAGAAGAATGGGGATGAGGGTGTCCCCCTACCTCCATACGTGGGATGACCGGCCACATTTACATCAGAAACACACTGGGCAACTAGGGATGTCCTCGTGGCTTCTTCTTAGGTAGCCTTTGCTGGACAAGTGGTAGGCATAGGAGCGCTCTCTACTTCTGGGCTCTGAAAGCAATAAGAGCAACAGCCCTCGGTGACATCAGGAGTGGGCTCCGGGCAGCTTCTCCCTGCACTGCCCTAAGGGACTTCACTGACCTAAAGACCTCTACTTAGGAACCTCAACCCACATTGCAAACCCAACAGTGGTACTGTGAGTCCAGGAGAAGTCTGTCCTCATGCTGTCTGCACCACTACCCATTGTCTTTGCTCTTATCCCCTGAGCTTCCTGTCCTGTCCCAGGTACAGTGCCAGCCAGGTCAGTGAGCAATTCACTAGGGTGTTTGTTTTACTGTACTATCCCCTGAGGTAGATACATTTTGAAAAACATATATACCTCAAGAAGGTAATAAGCAGCCCCAAGGAGTGTTTCCAAAATGGTGGGGTTTCTACCTTGGTGAGTAACCCTTGGAAGCAGTGGTTGGGTACAGAGAGGGCTGAGGGCCCTCCCAGCATTTTCACATAATGGCACCAAGAAGTCCTGACTGGCCTGCATTTAGCAGTAGCCCCATCTCCGTTGTTACCAAATGGAAGCCTCTCAAATGTCACCTTAAAGCAGGGGTGGGCATTGGCCGGCGTCGGGTCTCGGGAGATCTGTGTTTAGATGTGGATTTCCCCCAGTGACCCGGGGGAAGGCTGGCATAGGAGGGAGTCAGGCAAGGAATATATAGGTCTAGGTCCCTGAAGTCCCTTAGGGCAGTGCAGGGAAAACCTGCCCGGAGCCCACTCCTGACCTCACAGCCATGGCCTGGATGGGCTGGAGGCCAGAACTCAAGGAAGGGTCGGGGGGACCCTCTACCCACAGTGGGTCCTGGCCACACATACCTGGGGGCTGGAGTAAGCATGCTGAAGCTTGTGATGGGTGGGAGGGAGCAGTGCCCTTCTAAGCCAGTCCTTTTTTCTCTGGCTGAAGCATTTCCCTCAAGGAAAGCTGACTGCTTCTGCTGCACTAGGAAGCACCTGTGGACTCTGCTTTGAGCAACTGAAGCCAGAGCACCCTACTCTCATCTCACTTCCCTTAGTGGTTCTTGGATTTGGGGAGCTTTTTAGTCAAAGATGAGGAGACACCCTCTACTCTTCCAGGCCTCAAGTCATTTAATAACTTTCTTTAAGAAACAATTACACACAGCTTTCAAATACACACAAAAGTAGACTAAGAACAGTCGTGTGCCCATCACCTAGCTTCAGTAGTCTTGGTCATTGTGTTTGTCCTTGTCTGCTCTTCCTTTTTCTATATAGGTTCTTGGTAAAAGTCAGAATGTGAAGGGTTCAGAAAGCCAGAGGGCAGACACAGGTTGGGGGGATTTTGTGCCTGAGGCCCTCTGTCCTCTCCCAGGGCAACAGTAACAACAAGGCATCTTTCTCTTGGTTTCTTGGCTTCTGTGAGTGACACACCTCTCCTTGAACTGGTTGTGTTAGCTTTTAATGGCTGTGACAAAATACCTGAGAAAATCAACTGAGAAAAGTTGTATTATGGTTCATGGTTTCAGTCCATTTCTCTTAGGCCTGTGGTGAGGCAGAATGGAGGGAGGAGGCGGAGAGTGTGAATGAAATTTGCCTTTCATGGGCCTACAACCCCAGTGACCTACTTCTAGGCTCCACCTGCTAAAGTTTCCACAACCTCCTTCCACCACCACCTCTCTCCATATACCACGTAGCTAGAAATCCATCAGTGGATTAATCTCTCGAGGAAGTTAAAGCCCTCTTAAACAAATCCTCTCCCAAAGCTCCACCTCTGAACATTGCTACCTTGGGGACTAAGCCTTCAACATATGAGCTTTTGGGGGACGTTTCAGATCCAAACCAGCACTGGACCCTGCCTTAGGAAGAAAAGACCACAAGGGTTCCTACCTTGTTTAGCTCCTTGGGGACAACCAATGACAGGTTGCTTCACTGCGCCAGGGGCTTCTGAGGCCCTGGCAGCCCCTCCAGCAGGCAGAAGTTCCCTGTGGTTGGAATGGCTTGCACTCTGCAGTACATCTCCTCCTTGAAGCTCCTAGGAATGGAGCCATTTGGGCCTTGAGGTTTCACACTTCACATGAATGTGTTGACAGCTGCGACCTCTCACCCCAGCCTTGAACACAGATGCAGGGTTCTTGGTCTAATGCATGTGCACCGGAATTGATATCTCTCCGTGGAGGACACCCACATGCTCCCCTGTGCTCCCTTTCCTGTTATTTTCCCTTTCAATGCTGCGAAGTTCACTCCAATGGTCACTGTCCATTCCTTACTCTGTTGCTGCTACTAACAACAAAAAATAATTGTTGGGTGTGGTGGCATATGCCTGTACTCCCAGCACTAAGGAGGCTGAGGCAGGAGGATCATCATGAGTTCCAGGCCAGCCTGGGATAGTTTGAGGCCAGTCTAAACTACATTAGGAGACCCTGTCTCAAAAAACAAACAAACAACAAACCACTCTCAAAATCCCAATAATAATAATAGGAGCCAGCACTTATCCCATTCCTTAACTATGTGCCAGGCAGAATACCAAGTGCTTAACATACATCAGCTCATTTAATTTTCAGAATTACCCTATGAGCAATATCATTATGGACCCAATTTACAGCTGGTTTACAAGACAGGAGGGAAGGACTGAAGGAGGCAATGACCACTGGTCCCCAGAGCTGGATGCTTTTTATGTCCATGAACCTCAGCTGACCTACGTTGGACTGTCTGGAGCCAGGTACACCATTTAAGATTAAATTTTCATGCCAGGGATTTAGCTCAGTGGTACCACGCCTACCGTGAAAGCACAAGGACCTGAGTTAGAGCCCTGATACTGAAAAAAAAAAAATCATATCAACACATCCCTGCCTAACATGCCAAGATCTGCCACCTGCTATAGTAGTATAATAACATTCTGTAATTAATATAGTCTCAGGGATGTCATAACAATAGTGTTATAATCATCATGTGTGCCCATGCACAAAGCTCTCAGGCTGAGTGAGATGAGGTAGTGGCCACAAGCCCAGAACATCAGGCAGGTCCAAGGCCAAAGACAAGGAAGACACTATGGTATGGACAGGGGATGTTCACAATGTGTGTGACGCATGGAAACAGGCTTTCAAATCATTCTTTCATGCAATTATATAGCAAATATTTACTTTATACCCATTGTGTGCTAAACATTGAAATAGATCTTAATGACAGAATAATAAAGCAAATGCTTAGTCCCCTCCCACCAGCCAGTGTCTCTAATACAATAGAGGGTCCAACCAAGTGCCTCTGAGTTGGGGGGGTGGGCAGGAAGAAGGAAGGACAAGTGATATTTTGATGAATTATGCACCATTAAAAATTATAATAAGTATGTGCTCGCTTTGGCAGCACATATACTAAAATTTGTAAGTATTAATCTGGAGGTAACATCACATTTTAGACCCTATAGGAAGTAAGATTAAATGTTGATGGAAATATGAAGCACCTGAAAAGTATAAATTTTGGAGAAAGGTAAATTGCAGTGTGAATATATGTGTCTCCTCAGAATTATGTTGAAACCAGCCCCAAGGTGATGGTATTAGAAGGTGGGGCCTTCAGGGGTGATTAGATTGTGAAGGTGGAGCCCTCACTATAGATACTGAAAAAAAGGATTTCCAGAACTGCTTCAGAATATGGCAAGATAGACATGATAAGTGTATTTGAAGCAAGGAGTTGTATTTTAAGGGGAGTTAATGGCAATGTGTCTTTTACTGTAATAAATTTTTATAATTTAGACATTTACTGTGTACTTATTTTGATCATAAAAAAGAATCTTTGAAGCAAAGAATCAGCTGGTCCCTTGATCTTGGATCTTCCTAGCCTCCAGAACTGTGAGAAATATATGTTTCTGTTTTTTTTTTTTTCTTCTTTTTTTTTTTTTGTTTTTTTTTTTTTCTTCTTTTTTTTTTTTTGTTTTTTTTTTTTTCTTCTTTTTCTTTTTTTGTGATACTAGGGATCAAACCCAGGGCCTCATGTGTGCTAGGCAAGCACTCTACCACTGAGCTATATCCTCGGCCCTTTTAATTTGTGGACAGCGCCTCATTAAGTTGCCTAGGTTGGGCTCAAACTTGTGATCCCTTTCTGCCTTAGACTTTGGAGTAGCTGGGATTACAGGGGTGCAGCCACCATATCCAGCATGAGAAATACATTTCTGTTGTTTATAACTTATCCAGTGTAAGACATTACAGAAGTTCAATGAACTATGACAGTTGGTGCGACCCTGTTGGAAAACTGGCAGTATCCACTAAAACCGATCATAGGCCTAATCTACATTTTTGTTTTGTTTTGTTTTTTGCACTGGGGATTGAACTCAGAACTTTGGTTTTGCCAGGCAAGTGCAGTGCCACTGAGCTACATCCCTGGCCATAGGCCTAATCTAGGACCCAGCAAGTCTACTCCAGGGTGTGCTCACTGCAGAAACAAGATCATACAGTATGTCCACCAAGATGTGTGCAAGAATTCTACCACACTGTCCACAATAGCTCAAACTGGAAACAAGCCAAATGTCTATCCCCAGTAGAATGGATAAGTTGTGATAAAGTCACATAGTAGAATACTAATAATAATGGATATGAATGAGAATATTGCTATACACAACATGGATAAATCCCTCAGAGATGATGGTGAACAGGAGTCTACACATAAGAGTAGGATTCTATCCATTTGAAAAGTACACAAATAAAACTGATTTTTGGTGATAGAAGTCTTGAGAATGGGTCGTAGCTCTAGGGAGGACAGAGATGGGGAGGGGACTCCTGGGTACTGGTCTACCTCCTGATCTGTGTATTGATTTCATGAGTGTGTTCAGTTTGTGTTCATCCCCCTGCTGGAAATAAACAAAGACCAGCCAGATGAGAACAGACAACTTATTTTGTCAGAGTTGGAGACAGTCAGCCACCATTACTTGGATTTGACAGGGACTCAAAGTCAAACAAAGACTGGGAGACTGTATAGTGGAAAAAGAGAGAGAGAAGGAAAGGCTGTCATGTGTGCTGTGATCACAGGTTGTTGGCATGGGTACCCAAAGATGAGCTAACTGGGCTAATCAGGACACAAGGTTATAATGCACTTTTTTTCCTTCCAGGCAACTCACTCCAAAATTCCTAAGACACAGCAAGTCTGTCAATTGCGCCCTTACCTTTCACCTGGAAAATGGGCTCATGGTTTTCTTCTGATATGAGAGATTCCACAAATTCCAGACTTCTACCGACCTACCCCCTAAAGCACATAAATAGAGCTGGGTGTGGTGGCACACACCTGTAAACCCAGCATTGTGGGAAGTTGAGGCAGGAGGACTCATACTTTTGATCCCAGCCTGGGCAACAAAGTGATTTAGTGAGACTTTTTTCTCAAAATAGTAAAGTACTAAAAAAAATAAAATAAAAGGTGGGGGTGGGGGCTGGGGATGTAGCACAGCACAAAGGTCCTGGATTTAATCTCCAGTGCTAGGGGGGAAGAAAAAAGACCTACACTGATGATCTTGAGTTTACTTCCTCAGTAATATTACTAGAGGGTACATACTAGAAGGGCACTCAGACAGCAGGAAGGTGGGGGTGGGAGAGTTGGAAGTGGGCAGAGAAACACGGGTGGGAGTAGGAAAATGAAGGGGAAAGGCCCAGATTCTAGTCCTGCATCCACAGCCAGGTCCTGCATCCCTCACCCCCTGTCCTGGTTGGATCAGATGATGTCAAATCTCTTCTCCTCCCATCAGCCCTTGGGTGTCCTTGGCCCACTGCAGGCTGCATCAGCTTCCTCCACTTCCGTCCTCTTACCCCATCCCAGGTGCCATTGCTACAACATCTGATTCACTGATTTACTAGCAATCAAAGCTGTCTAATTTTAATCAAGTCGCTTGTATTTAACATAAGAAAAAAGAAAGAAAAATCCTTTCATTATCATATACAGCTGGGAATCAGGTTCTTGAAGAGGGCCTATCCAAAGGAAGAGAGAAATGGATAATAGCTACAAGACTTTATTTTTTTCCTATTTGCTGTCACAATGATGTCCTTAGAATTATGAGCCCATGGACACTTGTGTGCAATAATTCTGCTATTATTGCTTCTAAAACCAGGGATCCTTTAGTGCTTTCTTTGTTCAACTCACAGTTATGAGGTCTGCACTGGTCAGGTGTCTCCTCCTATGAGGCTGCTGCAATGAACAGAAGCAACTTTCCATCTGGCATGCTGTCTGGGACTTCTTCCCCTTTCTTTTTGGCTTTTGCCTTCTGCCTGGGGTGGGTGTTGTACTCAAAGACGCTCTCAGAGAGAGTGTGGCAGGCTGTCATCTTCCAGGTAGCTCAGCGGATTCCTTCCTTACCACCCAGCCAAGGTTGGGTCAATCTCCCCAGCCTAAATTTTCATCTTCCTTATAACGCAGTCTCTTTAAAACAATTTGTTTTAATTACTCAGGTAAATAAACACATATGAAAATTAATATTCCAAACTATACAGACTTGTATATGCTAGACACAAGATCTTCTGGGGATCTTGTTAAAATGCAGGGTCTAGGGTTGGGGATGTGGCTCAGTAAGGTCCTGAGTTTGATCCCCAGTACTACAAAAGAAAGAAAGAAACAAACAAAAAAACAATGCAGGGTTTGAGTCACTGAGTCTGGGTGGGGTCTTGGCGCCCGAACAGGGACCTGAAAGTTGATGAGGATATGCAATCCCGGACTCAGGTTGAAGGCAGCGACGGTGCTCCGGAGGACTGACCACTGCGCCTGATCCTCACAGTAAGTCTACCCTTCACTTCGTGAAGAAAAAGTGAAAAGAAAGTAAGAAAATGAAAAGATAAAAATGAAAAGAAGGTAAGAAAAAGTGAAAAGAAAGTAAGAAAAAGTGAAAGAAGGTAAAAAAAAAAAAAGTGAAAGAAGGTAGAGAGTGTCAAGTCCATTGGGAAGATTTTATAAGTTAGAAATTGTTAATTATGGGACAATCGGAATCCAGAGATTATGTAGCAAATTCTATTCAGAGCCTATGGAGGCACAAAGAGTAAAAGTTAAAAGGGCACAATTAGAGGCCTTTGCTAAGATTCTGGACACAGTTTGTCCATGGCTGTATGATGAGGCAGAAATAAATGCTGAAGTATGGGAGAGAGTTGGAAAACAGTTGAATAAAGCCCTTGTGGCTGAGCCTGATTGTTTTCCAGAAAATACCTTTTCTTATTGGGCTTTGTTAAACACAGCTCTCAGGACTCCGACAAAAAAGGAAATCTCGGAAGCCTTAGATGAGGTGCATGAAGGGTTAGAGCAAATTAGAGAGGAATGCTCTCAGATTTCAGAGCCCCCTGAATCTGGTCTAGAAAAAGACGCTAGAGAATATCCTCTTTCACCTGAGCCCCTCGAGCCTCCGGATTCCGGAGGACCTCCCGCAGTGCTATATCCCAGTTTTGAGGCTTTTCAAAAGTTATATCCCAGTTGTGAGGCTTCTCAACAAAAACTTGAGCGTCCGCCGCCTTCTGCGCCGCCCCCCACTCAGAGGGAGGCAAACCTGGCTCAGTTACGTACTATTAATCAGGAGCTCAGTGAGGAACTTCAGCTGAGACAACAGATTTCATGCCTCTCGAGCAGACTTGCGTCTCTTTGTGCCTCAGAGGCCAGGCCTACCAATGAGCCCAATGGTAAAGACCCCACAACATCTGATGGGTCTCAAAGCATAGCATCTCCTTTACAAGAGGCTCTCAAACACGCCACAGCACAAGGGGAGGAAGTCTTTACACTATTCCCCGTCGTTCAAGTAGAGGGACCCCAAGGGCCAATTAGAGAACATCGCCCTCTTGAATTTAAATTGGTGAAAGAATTAAAGACTGCTGTAAATCAGTTTGGCACTGCAGCTCCCTTCACTTGTGCTATCCTGGACTCCACAACTGGATCCTGGCTAACACCAAGTGATTGGATTGCAATCTGCTGCGCAGTTCTTTCAGGGGAAGATTTCCTCCTGTGGAAATCCTATTACTCCGAGCAATGCAAGGCGGCTGCCATCCACAATGCTAATGCCGGAGCTGCCTTGGCAAATTATGACATGCTTATGGGAGAAGGATTGTTCGAAAGCATGCAAGCCCAAATTGGCTGTGCACCACCGGTTTATGAACAAATCGCTAACTGTGCGCACCGAGCATGGAAACAGCTTCCAATGGCGGGCAATCTTAGCACTAGTCTTGGTAATATCAGGCAAGGGCCAGATGAACCTTATTCTGAATTTGTTCATAGGTTACTAGAGGGAGCAGGAAAGATATTCCCTGATGCACAGATGGGATTACCTTTTGTTACACAGCTTGCTTATGAAAATGCCAATAAATGGTGTAAGCCTGTCCTTAGACCCTGGAAAAATAAAGCTGACTTAGATGGCTATATCCAGCTTTGTGCGGATGTGGGAGGACAAGTGACTGTGGCCTGGGCTCAGGCTGCAGCACAGTGCGCTGCGCGAGGAGGAGGCACATTTCAAACGTTTTATCAGTCCTTACGTAGGACTCAGAATGCAAGAGGAGGCCCTAAACGGCCTACTCCTCCTGGTCGCGCAATGCCTGTCTGCCATGCTCTTCACCAAACAGGTCATATGCAAAGGGAGTGCCCCTCCAGGATCCAAACTTCCAGACCTGAGCTTTGCTCCCGCTGTCAAAAGGGTCTTCATTCATGTAAAGAGTGCCGCTCACTTTTTGCAAAAGATGGCACCTTTCTAGGCCCAAATACATCCTTTCCCAACCAGCCAAAAAACGGGAATCAGGGCCCATGACCTCAGGGCCCAATAAATGCGAGGCAAAACTTTTATCCGCTCCAACAATTTGTCCCAGAGACTCTCGGCGATATGTCTCCGATTTGTGCCGAGCAACCCCCAGCAGCGGAGGACTAGATCTTGCCTCTACTTCCTATATAGTACTCACCCCCCAAATGGGCCCACAGCGCCTCCCTACGGGAGTGTTTGGGCCTCTTCCTGAAATAACAATTGGCTTGTTGCTTGGGTGGAGTGGCTGGACTCTAAAAGGGCTCCAGGTTCATCCTGGATTAATTGATGCAGATTATACAGGAGAAATTCAGATCATGGCCTCCTCGCCTAGAGGAGTTATGGCTATCCCACAGGGAGAAAGAATAGCTCAGCTGCTCCTCCTACCTTTCCGCAGTGACACTCCAGCGGTGGGTGGCACATGAGGAGATAAAGGATTTGGCTCCTCTGACGCTTATTGGATACAACAAATTATATCCAAAAAACCAGAGATGCACATCACACTTAATGGAAAGCCCTTTAAAGGACTTTTAGACACAGGAGCAGATGTATCAGTGATAGCTGAACAGCAATGGCCAGCCACATGGCCTACCCAAGCGACAGTCACCCAACTGCAAGGACTCGGCGTTGCTAATGCGCCCCGACAGAGTAGCCAGATGCTTACTTGGAGAGATAAAGAAGGTCATGAAGGGGAAATACAGCCTTATGTTGTTCCCCATTTGCCAATAAACTTATGGGGCACAGATATCCTAGCAACTATGGGAGCTTTAATTTGTAGTCCAAATGAAGTGGTCACCAAACAGATGTTAGCTCAAGGCTATCATTCTAGTCAAGGTCTAGGAAAAACAGGATCACCCCAGACGCCTCTCGAGGCCTGTCCTCGACCCCCGCGTTTAGGACTAGGAAACCCTTTCTAGGGGCCATTGTTTCTGCTGCACCCCATGTAAGGAAAATAGAATGGATAGAGGGCCCACCAGTATGGGTGGACCAATGGCCCCTAAATCAGGAAAAACTAAAAGCCACCCAATGTTTAGTGCAGGAACAATTGGACACGGGGCATATAGAAGAATCATTCTCGGCCTGGAATACTCCTATTTTTGTTATTACAAAAAAAAAAAAAAAATCAGGAAAATGGCGCCTCCTACAGGATCTGAGAGAAGTTAACAAAAGAATGGTCATCGTGGGATCATTACAACCAGGCCTCCATTGCCCGGTGGCCATCCCTGCTGATTATTATTTAATAGTCATAGACCCTAAAGATTGTTTCTTTTCTATTCCTCTCCATCCTGAGGACAGAAAATATTTTGCATTTAGTGTTCCTAGCATAAATTTTTCTGAACCTTTTATGCGGTATCAATGGAAAGTGCTTCCCCAAGGTATGGCCAATAGTCCCACTTTGTGTCAACATTTTGTACAGCAAGCCATAAAACAAGCCAATTTAGCTACCTCTGTTTTGTGTTATCATTATATGGATGATATTTTATTAGCCGGTTCCAATTCGGATTTTATAATACAAGCCTTTGCTCAGTTGTCTGATAGTTTAAAAAGATGGGGACTTATCATAGCCCCTGAAAAGGTACAGAAAGTAAGGCCTATACAATATTTGGGCTTTCAATTAGGTACAGATAAAATCATTTCCAAAAAATTAAAAATAGATGTGAATCATTTAAAAACTCTCCACGACCTTCAGACTCTTTTGGGAGATATTAATTGGTTGCGTCCTTATTTAAAGATTTCTACTCATCAATTGTCTCCCTTATTCCAACTGTTAGAGGGGGATATGAGCCCTCTTTCCGCCAGAACTTTAACTGAGGAGGCCCGTTTTGCTCTAAAAGTAGTGGAACAAGCCATAGAGGAATAATACATATCTTATTATGAACCAGGACTCCCACTTCTCCTAATTATTTGTGAATTCCCTGATTGGCCTACGGGAGTATTAATGCAAAAAAGACCTCTTTATTGGATTCATCTACCTCATGCTCACCTAAAAGTCATCAAACCTTACCATGAGATGGTGGCTCAATTATGTCAGATTGGAAGGAAGGCCGCTGTCACCATCTTTGGTAAAGAGCCCGACAGGATTGTGATTCCCTATGATAAAAACCAAAGATTGTACTTGGACCAGACTAGCACCTCCTGGTTCCTTAGCTTCCTAGATTTTTCAGGTGATATTGATAACCATCCTCCATCAGACAAACTCATACAGTTTGCAACTAGGCATAGGTTCATTTTCCCCCAATGGACTTCCCCTAAGATAATTAAAGGAGCCCTTACAGTCTTCACAGATGGCTCCCATAAAGGAACAGCTGCAATAGTTTCACCCCATGAGGCATGGGCATTTAAGGTACCTTATACTTCTTCACAAATGGTTGAACTGAGCGCAGTCCTTCTAGCATTAACCCGCTATTCTCAACCCATAAATATTTATACAGATAGCATCTATGTATCCCAAGCTGTGCCTAAGTTAGAGACGGCAGGAAAAATTTTAGCAAAAGGAGATCTTTTAACATTGTTTGAGGGCCTACAAAATTGCATTGGTGGGTGCTCCACCCCCTTTTCTATTCATCATCCATGGGCACATTCAGGGCTTCCTGGACCCCTTGCTGAAGGAAATGCAAGGGCAGACGCACTCACAAGAGTATTCCCTGTTAACCTTATCAGTCCACCCCTAAAAGCAGCAGCCCAATTTCATAGCCTACATCATGTTAATGCCCAAACATTAAGGAAAATGTTTCAAATCACCAGAGAACAAGCCCGAGCCATAGTTAAATAATGCCAAAATTGCGTAGTACATTTACCTGTCCCTTCCTTGGGGGTCAATCCTCGTGGCCTTTGAGCCAATGCCCTATGGCAGATGGATGTAACGCACTGCTCCATTTTTGGCCGTTCCAAGTTTCTCCATGTAACAATAGATACCTTTTCGGGAATGATTTGTGCCACTCCCAGAACAGGAGAAGCCCTCAAAGATGTTATTGCACATTTGCTTCATGCCTTTGCCTATATGGGCAAGCCTCATGCCATTAAGACAGATAATGGACCAGCGTATTCTAATGCTGGCTTCCGCGCTTTTCCCTCCACATTGCAGATTTTCCATTCCACTGGAATTCCCTATAATCCTCAGGGACAAGCTTTGGTTGAACATTCCCACCGTACTTTAAAAATCACCTTAGAAAAGTTAGGGGGAAATCCCCTCTCTGGCAGCTATTCACCCATGCATAGATTACATCATGCCTTCTTTGTTATAAATTTCCTTCTTTTGGATGATGCGGGTAACTCTCGAGCAACCCGCCACTGGGGATCGTGTCAATCCCGAAAAGCACAGGTGCTTTGGAAAGATGTCCTTACAGGACAATGGAAAGGGCCCGATCCCCTACTCCATTGGGGAAGGGGTTTTGCTTGTGTCTTTCCGCAGGATGCTGATCAACTGCAATGGATCCCGGAGCATTTAACCAAACAGATTAACGCAAGCCGTGAAAAGGACCAAAGACAATCCTCCGGTGTTACTTCGTGGGACATCATTACAGACTCTGTTAATCCCTTAAAGATAAAGATTGTGAAGGCTCCTCCTAAGAGCTAATTCTTCCTGCTTTTCCATCTTATGTGCTTTTTCATACTTTGCCTATCATAGTAATGATTATTTTTTACATCCACAAATAGAAGGTTAATAGTAAATGAGACAGAAAAATATTAGGAAAGCTATAAGTAAGAGTTATGCTTTTGCATCTTGTTAAAAACAGGTAAAGAAAGATATACAAGACCAGAAGCCCTAAGTATATAGAGAAGCTGTGTGGAAATCATTTACAGTCAAGAAGAGCTTTCATTCCTTTAACCCTAATTCTACAAGAGATCTCTGTTAATTTTGATCTGCAAAAATTTTGACTAGTCATAACAAAAAGATTTTATAATTCAGTTGGCCAAAACCATCTGAGTGCACTCATTAAAATTGTCTTATATGTTTGTCTGTCTTAAGTGTTATATGTTTGTCTGTCCTAAATGTTCAAAGATGTTTGTATGTTCTTGATCAAAATGATGTCAAATATAAATAGATTATTGATTTCTACAATCTGGCTTTATAGGATCAAGTAAAAATTTAAAAGATAATTAAATATAACCTTTAAGTTTGGATATGCTCCTGTTGGTAAATAAAGAAGCAGCTGCTCAGAAAATTTATTCTGATCTTTGTTCACCAATGGGAGCTACCAAAATAATTTTCATAGCCTTATAAAAAGATATGCCTTGTTAAATATGTTGTTAAAAAAGTCTGTATTGGTTATCATCAAAGGTCTGAATTATAAAAATGTTATTGTAACATGTTTCTGATAGTTATTTTCAAAATATAATATTTTCTGAAAAAAAAAGGAAGATCCTGTTGATACAAAGCTACATTACAGGACATAAGAATTCATATAATTATAATAATTATTATTGCTACTTTTCTGGTATATAAAATGTATTCATATTGTTTGACCATGCAGGTTTTTCAGCATATTGTTTATGATAATAACCTTTCGGTCTAGGTATTCTCCCTTCTCTTCTGCTCCACCTATTTATGGTTACAGGTACATTTATAGATCTACCACTATCCCTGAACAGCTTGAAGCTGGGTTTCCACTGAGGAGACCAGATTGGGACCCCAACACTGAAGCAGCAGAGAAAAACTTCAGGATGTATCTTGGTGCACAAGCGGAAACCTTATTATCCAGAACAAGGATTTAATGAGACATCACAAAAGTTTTAGACTGGTCACTCGAATATTCCATGGACTTAAGTTTGTCTGCAGAACTTTGGAAAATAGATTCACCTTAGAAAAGTTAGGGGGGAATCCCCTCTCTTTCAAGATTCAAATCACAGATGGTGGGATTTTCTGTTTGTCAGTACTACTGCTAAATAGTATTTTTCTGTAATATTTATTCCTGTATTGGCGATCACTGTAATTTTGATAATTTTTCGTATTTGTAATTGTTATATGTATCGCAAGATGACAAGAATGTATCAATCTTTTGTGTTTCGAT